AAGAAAAAATGTTATTATTATGTTACATAATAAAGTCTAGCTTGTCAGCCATAACATTTTCCATGAAGTAAAAACATGTTAACGATTATAGAAGAGTCTATGATGAGATTTGCATTATGTCAATGCAGATCGGCTATAGTGATAGAAGAGGGTTGGTCCATTGACATGATAAGAACGGTGACTTGAAAAAGTGAAGAAGCCATGAACAAGCTGAATTCATAGGTGTTCAAATTTAGGAAAAGCTTAGATAAAACAACACAGTGTACTTTGAGAGATTCATTTTGTCTGAAGTGTGCTGTGTGGTCTGCAAAAATCTTAACTTGGGGTATAGTGATTATGGGCACTATCCAGACAGTTACAAATTAGTTTTTAGTACTGTTACTATGGTATAAGAAACCATATCTGGCCAAATAGTGTAACATCATACATTCATAAATGGCTTTCTTGTGGTCACATAGAATTATAACTGATTTGCTATTATTTCATAATTTTGGTGGTTCCTCATACACAGCGTCCATCACACTTGATATCAACTTTACTTGACAAACTCCCATGTCTTACCATCACAGTGATATTAGAATTTATTTATAGTTAAGCAATTTAAATACTACATTATTAGCCTACATTATCTCGCTACCTCTCTATATCTCACATCTGCAATTTGGGATATCATTAGTTCCACAAAAAATTATAATAAAATACAATACAATATATATAATAATAACCTTACTATTAATGTATGTCATGATGTCAGAAAATATGTAGTATTTCAATGATTTATTGTGGTATTAGAAAAGAATAGTACCACCTAATGGAATGTGTTGCATTACTTGGTAGATGTTAACAATTCATCACGTTGCTTTTGCAGAACATATTCATTCAGGAGTGTTTAGGAAGACTAAGGGAAAGACTGCAGTGTGCACTCAACAACAACCCTCCTGACCTTGATTATTTGGAATACATAGTGACCCAAGAGAGGACCTTCATAAATGCACTGCAGAATGTAGATCGTCCTCATGATGTCTGTGAAGCACTTGAAGAACTGAGCAGCTTGTTACACCTGCAGAACACTCCTCCATCTTCTATCTCTTTAGTGAGAAGGATTGGTCCCTATGGACGCTTTAGTCTCCAGGTCAGAGAGGACCACCTCCACAATCTTCTTCAACTAGGTCTTACTGCCACGTGTGTTGCAGACATTCTTGGAATCTCAAGAAGTACCATCAACAGGAGGAAGCAAGAGTACAATATGTCAGTTTGGAGTCTACTCCACCATGTCTGATGATGCTCTGGATTTGGAAGTGAGAGCCATCAAATCTAGAATACCTCATGCTGGATACCAGATTGTCAAGGGGTGTCTTCAAGCAGATGGGCACCATGTACAATGGGCCAGAATCAGGGCTTCTATGCACAGAGTTGATACAGAAGGCACCTTCTCAAGAATGACAAGTATGGGCTGTGTGGTTAGGTGTTCAAGGCCAACAGTTTCTGAAGCACATAGACAACAATCACAAACTCATCAGGTGTGTTTTTTGGGAATTTCTTGGAATATAGCATTACCAGAAATATTTATCACTGGAATTTATTTGTATTTGTAGCAAAGTGAGTGTGTGTCTTTTGTCTTTTAATTAAACCATTTCCTTTTTTCACCAGATATAACATGTGATATTCGGCGGCATTGATGGCTTCTCTAGGAAGGTAAATTTCATAATATTGCAATTATAATTCATCAGACAATTAATATTTTACCTTATAACAGTTTACAAATGTGTCATTTAAAGTGTTTTGGCTTAACAGGTGTAGGCCACAGCATAGATTTAACTAGAGATTTTTATGTTTGCCCACAAATATGTTATTTTCTTGTCCCTCTTTCTGTTGCATATATATTATTCTCAGCCTGACACAATTTCATGTAGTCTTGGATTTGACCTTCTACAAATCATTTGTTATATCAGTTCTTGGATAAGTATGTCTTGTCTTGATCAACTTTATTTTAATCCCAAATTCACAAATATGTTTTCTCTAAGGGCTTTACAGGCCCACAAATAAGAAAATCAACCTGCTAAATAATATATTTTGATAATGAATTATATCTAATGCCAATCATTTCATAACTGTTGAGTTTTTTCTGGGTGGAGAGAGGGAATATGGATGGCCGTACAACTAAGTAATGCTTCAGTAAATTTATTTTGAGTAGTGTTAAAGTGTTGTAATGTAATTGTCAGGATTTATTCAATACTGCATTTAGTTTTCATGAGCTTCTTGTGTCAGGAAATGATGAGTAATTGACAAGTTTGTTTTGTGGATTTTTTGTGTGGATACTAGTTTCAAAATCGAATGTGTTACAGAGTTAGAGGTGACCAGGGAGTTGAAAATGTTGACATTGCCCAGATGATGTTCACTGTGAGAGGCACAGGATGTGGAAGATTTATAAGTGGAAAAAGTGTGCACAACCAGAGGTAAAGTATGCCTTTTACAATAATGATAATAATCAAATTACCTTAACATCCAAGTAGTTAGTACTCTATTTGAATGGCTGTTTGGCAATTATTTTACATAGTTTGACTAACCTGTGGTGAACGTTTGTATGAATTTATGAACTGTAGAATCGAGCGCCTATGGAGGGATGTTTGGACAAGCGTTACACACATTTACTATGATGTATTGCACAGCCTGGAGGAAGATGGATCCCTCAACTTCTCAGACAGTCTTCACCTCTTCTGTGCTCAGTACACCTTCCTTCCTAGACTTCCTAGACTTTTCGGCTGGCTGGAATGATCACCCCATCAGGACAGAGAGTTACCTTTCCCCAAACCAGCTGTGGGAGCTTGGCATGCTGCAGCACTCCATCAGAGAGACAGAGGTGTCTGAGGAAAATGTGGCAGTTGAGTAATAATGGCAATGACATTTTTGTTCTGCCACTAAATATGATTTTCTCAATCAACATACTGATCTATATAATACTATCTTCTCTTGTTTTAAGGAAATCCAAAAAAAAAAAAGCCAACTCAGGTATTACCGTGCCAGAAATTGAATGTCCATTGAAGGCCGAAGACATTGAAACTTTCCGCCTTGCCATTGATCTCCTTTCACATTCATATAGATTTGGAAGAGACATTTGTTTGACCACACTCTCACATGCTTTGTACCTACTTCAAGATCATTGAGTTATACCTGTTCCAAGCAGTTGTGGAAAGTAAATGAGTACTTAAATACTTAAGTACAACTACTTGAAAGTGGCTGGTCTACTTTGGCCACATTGTCATGTTTCAGAAGTCTATTTGTTGTTCATGGGACTTTTTTTACTCCTTTTAGATTTTGTCATTTAAATAAATATTTGAATCCCAAATAGATCCAAATTTTCACTAATAATCAAATATTAGAGAGAAGTCCAAAATAGTTTGAGTATTTTAATTAATTTTAAGTTTTCTATCCCATTAATCACCTCACGGCCCCTCACATTATATTTTGTGACCCTTTTACTTACAGTGCGTAAAATATCTAACTGACAGCCTGGAGGATGTGACTGGGGGGAGAGAGGGGAGAGAATTTAGCTTCCTGACAGCTTGGTGGATGAAGCTTTTAGTGAGTCTGGTGGAGCGGGCACGGAGGCTCCTATACCTTCTAAGGCAGGAGGCTGAACAGACTGTGTGCGGGGTGACTGGCGTTGCTCACAATTGAGATAGCTTTACGGGTGAGGCGGGTGATGTAAGTGTCTTGCAAGGAAGGGAGTGGTGCACCAATGTTCCTACCAGCTGTGTTATCTATGCGTTGCAGTGCTTTTCTGCTGTATTCAGTGCAGCTCCCGCCACACACAGTGATGCAACTGGACAGGATGCTTTCAATGGTGCTCCGGTAGAATGTGCACATGATGGGTGGGGGAGCTTTCACTCGCTTGAGCTTGCGGAGGAAGTAGAGGCGCCGCTGGGCTTTCTTCGCCAGTGATGCAGTGTTGGTGGTCCAGGAGAGGTCCTCATTGATGTGCACCCCCAGGAATATGGTGCTGCTCACTCTCTCCACAGCAGCACCATCGATGGTCAGTGGTGGGTGTTCGGTGTGGTCTCTCGGGAAGTCAACAACAATCTCCTTGGTTTTGCTGACATTCAGCAGGAGGTTGTTGTCTCTGCACCACGTGGTCAAAAGGTTGACCTCCTTCCTGCAGTGGGTCTCGTTGTTCTTGGTGATGAGACCCACCAGAGTAGTATCATCCACAAACTCATGTTATTGGTGCTGTAGGTTGGTGTGCAGTCGTGAGTCAGCAGGGTGAAGAGCAGGGGGCTGAGCACACAGCCTTGGGGGGGCCCTGTGCTGAGCGTGATGCTGCTGGAGGTGTTGTTGCCGACTCGTACCGATTGTGGCCTCTCACTGAGGAAGTCCAGCAGCCAGTTGCAAAGGGAAAGTAAAGAATCCCGCCTACCCTGAGGGGGTTCTTACTGTGTGCGGGGGAGAAAAGGCCCTGATACCCTGATACCACGCACAGGGCAGTGGAAACACAGCACACGACTGAAGGTGTAAACTGTTTGAGATTTAAAGAACAGAACTCACACAGTTTCCATATTTCACCAGACACAGCAGATATTCAGAGTTTCACTCAAACATCCTCTAAAACCGACTGAACACGAAGCTGAAACAGAACTGAACCTTTAGTTAATTAATGTGTGTGTGTGTGTGTGTGTGTGTGTGTGTGTGTGTGTGTGTGTGTGTGTGTGTGTGTGTGTGTGTCAGCTGAGGACGAAGGAGCGACCCCGGTGAAGCGGCGGCAGTCCATACAGACACATTCACAGACGCCCTCCTACAAACCTACAAACCTTCCATATAGACCCCCCCTACCAACAGATTTACACACATTTACCTTTTCCAGTCAACCTTACATTATACCTCCCGCTGCCATCACAATATCTCTGGTCCTGCTTCTAGTTAAATAGCCATGTGAGTCGCTAACTTAAAATAAATGTTTTAATACCTCAGGGTGTCGTGTATATAAATGGAAATCAAACAAGCTCTGGATGATACAATTAGTTTATTCAGACAGGTAAATATTTTATGGTCACTAATGTGAGTTTTTGCTGTCGAAACACTCAAAATAAATTAATAAAATTTTAACCCTTCGGAGGACAATCTCATAATATTCACATCATATTATAAAATGAAGCAGAATAACAGTTTGATATCCGGTTGCTCTAAATATGAAACATTTTGTTCATTGAAAGTAGAAATAGTTTTTATTTCACACATTGCACAGAAAAATTACACAGTAGAATGTAGTGTATTATTTAGTTATTTGCAGTTGAATGGAGGTTTACTGCACAGCTGCATTCATATTATTATTTACATTTTTTGCTCATAAAGTGCATTAAAGAGAAAAACGAAAGCTGCAAAATGAAACAGAGGTGACACAGTTTCTGTTAAATTATAATTATGGAATATGTTCAGTTTGCTTTATGGCAGCCATTTTACAGACAAAGAAATTAAATTAAAATATTACTCAGTAGACCGATTCAAGTTAACAAAACTGAGTCTCTTTATCTTAAAACAACCAAATAAATCTGGCACTGAAGTTTTAAAAGGAGCATTTCACCCAAAATGAATCTGCTTGTTTGTAATTCTCTGGAATAAAGTCAACATTGACAAGTGACATTTTGTTCATCATTGGTCTCCTTCGGACTCTCTTTAGCTTAAAAACGGTTCTTCCTGAACTCAGCAGCAATCTAATCAGCTGCTATGGCGTCTGGGTGTACGGAGGCTGCAGAGTGCCACTGGAATAAATTAATATGGACTTTTACTTTTGTTTCATATTAATTAATCAATACATTTTAAAAAGCATCCATTTATTTATTCTCTCTTTCCAGAGCTTTCAGCAGCATCTCACTGTCTTCCTCAGTGACTGATACTAATTAGCTGCCATCTCAATGACAAACTGACGAAAACAGGGAAATGCGCTTCATAGTTACAGGAAAAGCTAGCAAGTGGACGTTGAGTTAAATTTTTATGGTCAAGAACGACTGTCGCTGTTGAGTGAAAAGCATTACATTTACAAGTTTATCATTTTATTTCTTTGTCCTGCTTAGAAATGATTAAAAAAATGTAATCCCATTTACTGATGTGTCTGTTTATCATTCAACATTTACAGTTACCACTTTCTGACGGCTTTCATTTATTATAATAATAAAACTTTAAGCTTAAAGCGGTTAAAGAGGTTTTTATTACTACTACTACTACTACTACTACTACTACTATGTTACTTACTTTTTCATATCATTTAAAAGCTAATTTAAAGATCTGGTTTGTAGGATTTAGTGGCATCTAGCAGTTGCTGCATGAAGGAGAAACTACGGTGGCCACAAAACGAGCAAAAAATGTAAACGTCGCTATCTAGAGTTGGTGTTTTATTTTGTCCCTTCTGGGCTACTGTCAAGGAAAGGAGCGGCTGTCGACATGGTGGACTAAAAAAAAAAACGTCTTACTCTAACCTAACAAAGACACAACGTTTGGTATTTTCAGGTGTTTACACACTAATAAAAACATATCTATGAATATTATATTTCTGCCAATAGATCCTCTTAAATGTTTCACACTGGACCTTTTTAAGTAATCAATTTATAATATTTGTTTAAAAAAAAAAGATTCACATCTGAGTTTAAAGGCAATAAATAAATCTGCAATTTATCGTCTAAAACAAATGATTTAAGATTTAGAGAAACTCATTCATGCATCGACAATCACTCCCGTCCTTAAATCTCTCTAAAATACAGCGACTTTAAGGCGTCAAATACATTTGTAATTGGTGATTCTAGTTAAATATTTAAATATTAGAGATATTTGGGAAGTTTGTGACGCCGTGGATAAAATCAAACAAAGTTATTTTTCGCGGCACTCTGCAGCCTCCGTACAGTCGGACTGAACTCTGTGTTCAGATCAGAGAGAAGAGGTGTGGCTTTCATCACCCGCGCTGTCTCTCTCGTCCGCCTGTCTGTCCGGTTCAATCCTCACACTGTCACCGTCTGTCTGTCTGTCCGTCCTCTGCTGCTCTTCCTCCTGTCTCCTGTCCTGTGGCTTTGTCTGTTCCTGCAACACAAATTATTTATACAGCTCGTCTCAACCTTTCAAAATGTTTCATTCTAACACTTTGAATTAGAATCTGTTTTTTTTAATTATTTTACCTGTTGGGGTGTTGCTTGAGACCAGTTCCTGAAACATAACGGAGGGATTTCCATTAAAAACTTTGGATGAAGAGTTGGGATTTAAGGTTAAAGATGCTCGGAGGACTTACGTGTAACCTTCGGCTTTTCGGCCGATGTCAAAACTCTCTGTGTCAGAATCCGTCCCGTGTTTCTCCGTCACCTTGAACCTGAAGAGAGTCAAACGTGTTCAAGCTTTAAAGGAGCAGTGTGCAGGATTTAGTGGCATAAAGAGGATTATAATACAGGAATATAATATTCTACAGTAGCCCAGAACGGACAAACCAAACACAGGATTAAAATAGGGCCGTTCGCGTTTTTAGATCTAGATGCTACTAACTAAACTACACTGGTCTTTAATATTCAGATTTTAAGAGCAAATTTGACATTTCTCAGGATTACGACCGGAGTCCCCGGATGGCGCCGTCCACTCTGGGACAGACGACCCTGACTAACGTTGGCACCCAGCTGCCGGTCTGAAGCACGTTGATGGTTTCCAGTCTCACCTGATGATCAAGGCAACAGCAACGATCAATCCCAGCATGCTCAGGGACAACAGGACGGCCAGAGCGATGACCACGGCCTGGTTGGAGGCAGGGCTTTGAGGCTTCATCTCCACGTCAAAGTGAAGACCCTCCCCAAACACTTTGACCAGCTCCACCGTCACAGCAGCCGATTGGCTCTGCAGCTTCCTGACGGGTCAGACACGAGAGATCAGGACCCAACAGAACTTTAAGAAACCGTCTCTAACTATCTGTCAACTCTTTCACTCTTACTTTGTGACTTCTTCAGAGGAAACGACCTCCCCTCCGTCTACAGCGACGAAGCTGACCAGAGCTGTCCTCTCAGCCGCCCTCGCCGCTCTGGACTCAGAGGTATCTCCGTTAGCGCTGGACACCTCGATGATGTTCACGGTCCAGCCCAGAGCGCCACCTAGAGCCCTGAGAGGAAGTTACAACAGTTACAACAACAGGAATAATGAATCTCCGAACAATGAACGGATCATGAGCTCGACGCGTCTTACTTCTCCATCTCGGGGACTTTCTTCTCCACGACGTTGGCGGGCTGGTTGAGGGAGATGACCACCACGTCACTGCTGCTCGCACCTCCCTTGACCTCCACCTGGGGGCAGAAGAGTGCCATTGTGGTATGTACATTATTTTTTTTACTTTAAATTAAAATATTCTCATTGAATGGCAGCCCTGAAAACACACTGTGTACAGGAAGCAGTAAACTAATACAGAAGAGAATAAGACATTCAAATCAGTTATTTACACAATTTATAGCTTAATTAGGGACTGTAGTAAAATCATTAGTATGTGGAAAAGTCTAAATGTCTTTCAGATATCAGCAATCAGCTTACCGTACCGACAGTAACAAACAAATTGACCCACTTGGTCTCAATCTCGGTGCAGAAAGAACATAAAACGCATATATTGGATTTTTATTTCAAGTTTTATGGACACGTCCTTCATCTTATTTGTGATGAGATATTTGTGATGAGGGTTTCCTTCATCAGTCTTTCTCAAAGTTAACCTTTTCTCTTAACATCCTGCTGATTTTGGCCTCGACTGGACGTTGACTCACTGTTCTTTACCTTTTATAAAAACCACTGTGAACTCCCTTCATCCAGTCCTCGCTCACTCACCTCCACCTTGGTCGTAGCCTGAAGTCCTCGGGGGTCCGTGGCTTTCACCTCCACTGCAGCCTGCTGTCCGGCCAGACTCACCACGGACACCACGTACACCAGACCCGAGGACGGCTCCACGTCAAAATGAGGACTGTCTGCAGACAGGCTGTAGACCAGCTGACCCTCTTCACCGACATCAGGGTCCAAAGCCTGTGGGGGGGAGGGTGGGGGTCATAAATGATTTGTTTTTTAAAGATCTAAACACTAACATGTGTGAATTCAACTGTAAATTCATTATTTATTATGTGTATTTGAAGCATCACTTTGTTTAACACACAAGATAATTAATGATTATCTGCTCATATTATAATGTGTAAATTTACATTAAATTAAACATTAATTGATTCAACTGGCTGAATTTATCCATCAATTCCTACGAAACTCTGCCTCTTATTGGTGACCAGTGGTTGGTTGGGATGCTGTCAGAGACACGGCGTCTGACCTTTGAACTTAGTTAGTGACTCAGGTTTATGTCATGGAAAGTTGTGAAAATGTTCCAGATGATGTGACGAGTTTTACGGCTTCTCAGTGACTCATTAACCACAGGGAACATACGCAACCAGAGATTATCGCTGCTGTCGTTAGCAGAGAGCAGGTATCCCACAATGCTCTTTTATTACAGTACGGGATATTTTCTGTGTGCGTTTACCTTCACGTGGATGACGGGGGTTTTATACGGGGCGATGCTGAAAATCGAGGCCTTATAAACCTCGGACTGAAACTCTGGAGACTCGTTCACATCCTCCACCTGAACTCTGACCTGAGAGAGAGAAGAAACAAGGAAATACAGGACTGTAAACATAATCTGATCGGATTCACAGAATCTTATCTGATAACACAAACACACATAATACTAAGAAAGACTAATACCAGAAAGTAACTAAATGTACAAAATAAACCACAGAACAGTGAAAGTTCTGACTTCCAGCTGCACAAATGGTCCTGAATGCTTCACGACAACAAGATTTTCTGGATTAAATGTTGAATTGTTCTGTTGTTTTATAGAATATATAAAAGTCATCTAACTGATGTGTATTTTCTCTGGTCTTTATTTGTGTATTTGGTGTGGAGGTAAATTAATTTACTGTAATATTGTGATACTTTTGTAATAAACAATTATGTTAGTAAGTAACTGCAATCGGATTACATTTTTAAAGGAATCCTCCCAACGCTGGACGTTTGTAATAATCCCCGATGAATAAACTCAACAGTATCAGTTGATCCATATTATTGTCAATGTATTTTAATGAAGGTCTGGATCCTGATGCTCATTAAAAGTTTGTCTGTTTTTTCTTATAATAAAGAGAGGATTCAGAAAGGGTTGCTTCTTTTCTTCAGTAATCAATATCACCTGAGATATACAACTTAAAGGAGAAACCAGACAATATTCTCTCCATAAAATCTGGTCCAGTTTCACCAAAATCACTGATAAAGTTGTGTGTAGTTTTACAGGAAGACACAATGATTGGACTTTAATATAAAAATACAAATAAATTAAAAATAACTTTTGTGCATTTTTCTGACACACATTGTTAAACAGGGAGACAATACGACTGAGGATGTGATCTTAAAGGGTTAAAATGAGAACGGATCGTACCATTGCAACAGCTGACGTAGGGGGGGTCCTCGTGTCCACTGCCTCCACGTCCAGGATGTACCAGTCCTGCTCTTCTTTGTCCAGCTGTGTTTTGGTCAGGATGGCTCCGCTGGTGTCGACGGAGAACAGGTCCGTGTGTGTTTTCAGTGTGTAGGCGACGTCGTAAAGGTCGCTTCCTGAGGAGGCCCAGACCATCCCCACTGTCGCCCCCACCGGCTCGTTCTCAGGTAGGCTGAAGTTGTAGGAGGGGTTCCTGAAGGCCACGCCCTCCACCAGGCTGACGACCCTCAGATTGACCACGACGCGGACTGGTTACACACAACAACACACGAGTTATCAATATTCAATACATGTTTAATATCACAAGCTGTAAAATATTAAAATATGTCATTTTTATTATAGTTTACTTTACACATAATATAACGCAGGCCACCTTCCATGGAGTCCGCCATCTTTCTACAGAAGCCCTTTAAAATTTTTCGCTTGTTTCTCATCCGCCGTACTTTCTCCCACACCCTTCACATCCCGTTCTCATTCCCAGGTTGTCGGATACAGACGCCAGCTGTATTCAGTTAGTTGCAATCTGCAACTTCACCACTAGATGCCACTAACTCCCACACACTGGCAGTGGTGTCTGGAGAAGTGGGTTTATTCTTATTTTATGCCCCATTTTCTTTCTCCTAAAATTGCCGTTGAGCAAAGGATAAATGCTGTGTGTTATAAACGGTGCTAACCCAAAATGTTCTTCCGCAAAAGCAAAAGGCCCAAACTAGAGCCAGTGTTTGGTTTGTCCATTCCGGGCTTCTGTAGAAGCACGGCGGCTGCACATGGTGTCTGTAAATGAATCCGTCTCATTCTAAGGTAACGGAAACTACCTGGCGCCGTCAGACTGACCTGTGGAGTTTAGGGGAGGCTGGCCGTGGTCTTTAGCCATGGCTGTCAGCACCAGCGTGGTGTCCTCTGTGACATCAGCAAGGTCAGGAGGTCAAGGTCACGTCCCCGGTCTCACTGTTTAAGGCCAAATATGGAGAACTTCCTGCAGAAAAACTGCAACAGAGAGAGAGAGAAAAAATAAATATTTGAGTATGAAAATGAGGTGAATCACATGCTATGGCTGTCACAGTCACCAGATCTCAACCCAGTTTAACACCTGTGGGAGATTTTGGACAAACACCATCATCAAAAACACCAAATATGTTCTGGTAGGATAGAGATCATCTCTCCAGTAGAGTTTCAGAGAAGCTGTTCTGTTCGTTTTTCCTTTAATTCGTCACCTGTCTGTATTTTATTCCTCAAGCTGCTTAAGAACAAATCTGTTAGGGCGCCCTGGCAGCTCACCTGGTAGAGCTGGTACCCCAGTTAACAATAAGGAGTCATTACTGCAGCGGTTTGACTCCAACCTTCGGCCCTTTGCTGCTTGTCATCCCCCCTCTCTCTCTCCCTCCTCTTTCCTGTCATTCTTCAGCTGTCTCTATCAATTCAAGGCAATAAAAGCCCCTAAAAATGTATATTTAAAAGAATGAATCGGTTGGTACGAGTGGTTCTTTCACAAGGTCCAAGGTGCACTGTGCGCAGCAATGCTGTGTAGATGACCCTAGAGTCAGCTGCTGACGGCGTCCTGGGCTGCACTGACCTGTAGGTGATGAGCGAGTTGTTCCCGGCGTCTCTGTCGGTGGCCGCCAGCGTCAGCAGCAGCTTCCCCTTCGCTGCGTCTTTCAGCAGGATGCTGCTGACGTAGCTGCTGGAGCTGAACTCAGGCGTGTTGTCGTTGACGTCGGTGAGGCTCACTCTGACAGTGGTTACGTTCTGGTGCACAAGAGTATGCATTTAAAACTTTATGATGTTGGTTAACCTTTTATAAGTAGCTTAATGATCTGATCCCACTGGAAGAATTTAAATGTTAAAGCTCCGTGTAACTGAGACATGTGTGATGTTTGCTTTCCCTCTGTTTGTAACTGTGTTTTTATTTCTATTTAAATTTTAACTGCTGAGCCGTCTCAGCCTGGTTGCCCTCGGGAAAGAGATTTTTAATCTCAAGGGACTTCCTGGTTAAATAAAGGTTAAATAAACAATATAAACGATATATAGTGCAGAACATACAGGGTACTTGTTTAGAAACAACATATATGGAGGGTTGTAGATGTGCGTGTGTAGGTATACATAGAGAGACAATATCTATCAATATATATAAACCATAAATAAATAACCTGGAAAACATTTAACACACAATATTAAATTCAAATGTCTGTTAGCATCATTTGCATCATGTGTCTCACCTCTCTCTGTGGGCTGCCTTTGTCCGAGGCCGTAACCAACAGTTCATACGTGTCCTTCCTCTCCCGATCCAGAGAGCCAACAGCCAGCAGCATCCCATCCTGCAACACAACACACACATCTCAGTGCTCAGCACAGGTCCACAACTAGTTCCACAATCCTCCCCCCCTCTCCCTTTCCCTCTCTCGGCCTCACCTCTCTGAACCTGAAGAGCGGGTGGGGGGAGGAGAGGGAGAGGGTGACCTCTCCGTTGGGGCCGAGGTCGGGGTCTGTGGGCACGATGGCCAGAACTTCTCCTGGAGCTTCCTCTGAGTAGGCGCCCTCTGGGAACAGCACGGGGTCAGGGATGGCGGGGAACTGTGGGGCGTTGTCATTGTAGTCCAGGACGGTGATGTTGAGCTGGGCTGTGGCTGTCAGACCGTCAGGGACCTGGTCCACCGCCAACACCTGAATACGGGCACAGAGAACTACATGAACCTCCTCCAGGAACTTTTTATGGAGTAACTCTGGAGTCCAAAGCCTGTTTTTACTAAATCTGTTCTTTCAAATGTGTTTTTGTATTTTATTAATAAAAAATAAAACTTCATAATCTTTATAATTAAGATGTTTGGGGAAAACTATTTTCTACAACTAGATTCTATATATATATTAAATTATTGTTATTATTATTTGTATACAATATAGATATTATTATTACTTTACAATAAGTTTTACAGTATTTGCTTTATAATTTATTTATTTTCTGTCACAACAAAAGATAAATATTCCCTGTATGTGAAATCCGTCTTGGCAATGAACCCGATTCTGAATCTGACATTCAGTGCTGTTGGAATTCTACAGTTCGATAAGCACAGGGTTTGTAAAGATAATTTTCATTAAAGTGTAACTTATTTTCCTATGTTTCTGTGTCAGTGGCAAAAACAAGCACTTTGAATGGACAAATTCAACACTTGTTAATCACTTTCACACAAAAATACTGGAAAATAAGGTCCAGATTTACCCTAAACAAAGTTACTCTTTAAAGCTGCCACCTCAAGAAGGAAACATGGTCTGCGTAGATCAAGTTGTTTCACAAACTTCTTTTAGACAGAAAATGCATACAGCTGCATTGAACTGGATCCATGAAAACCTCCGACTGTAACACAGTGGTATGGAGCAGGATGAAGGTTTATTCCTAATAATAAGATTATTTATTGTTTATTGTTATTGTACACAACAGTAACTGAGGGATAGTGACTGTAAGAGTGTGTTAAATGTGTCCTTTGTAAGATCATTGCAGTGTAAAGAAACACTGTTGCCCATTTTTTATATTATTTAACTATTTCATTTTGAGAAAAGAAAACCTTTAAAATCTGTTTTTGTGACCACAATTGTTCAACAGAGTTAAATTTACATTAAAAAATAATTCTAAATCTTAATAAATATATATGTAGGATAAATTGAGACTGTTTTTTAACCCATATAAAATATGTGTTTTACATATATTGTTTCACATATAAAATCTCCTTTTTTAAAGTGTTCCTCACAACAAAATTTTATTTATTTATTTATTTTTTCAATTTGCAAAGTACAATTAAAATCAATTCGAAATGTTATGAGGTTTATGAATGACAAACTTTTTTTTGGCTATAGTATGTACAGTAAACTATTTTAACACCAGGAAATAAACACATTATTACATTTTAAACAGTACTGTAAATGCTGTCAGTATCTTAAGTGTGTATGTATCAGAATATGATTTATTTTGTGTGGTAATCTTTTTTTTGTTTTAGACTTTTTAAATCAGAAGATGGGAAATGTAATGATGTGTACCTGCAATATGTAGCTGTCTTTTGTCTCTCTGTCCAAGGTGACGTTCTTCCTTAGTGAGAGGACACCTTGTTTGTTAATGTCAAAGGTGTCGCTGGTATAGACGAAGTTGCCTTTGGAGAATCCACCCTGAAGAGGAAGAAGAGATCAAAGTGTGTCAAAAAACCACCGCTGACTTCATAGTCAGAGTTAATCATCAGAGATGAACTTATCAGAAATGTAATAAAGTATAATCTGAGAAATGACGGAGACAGTCTTAATAATTTACTCTGATCATAAAGCAGCGGTGCCAAGCTCCAAACTGTTAGAGCTCTTCTCATCTTGTGTTTTAATCCAAAGCAAATCTGCCAAATCTTTAAATCTATTAGATAAAACACTGCTACAGCAAATTACTGGATATATTTCACCAAACCAATCTGAGTTATCAGTCCTAAATATACTAACATTTTTTGTTATTTTTTTGGCATACATTATTAAATAGGTGAACAATATGACTGGGAATATAATCTTAAAGGGTTTAACTGATGAGGTAATGTATTAATGTTTTATTCAAGATACATTTAATCACATTCGCTGACTTCCCTCCTCACTCTCTGACGTATCTGACATATCCTGTGTTTACCCAGAAGTTATATCAACAAGAGGCAAATAGGAAACGCACCATTAACTAAATAGAATTATGTATTTCTCTGGGTTTGAACATTGTTGCAAACATTTGGGATAATGTAAGGACACAATTCAACAAAATATATAAAATAGGTCTAGTGTTTATTGTAGTGTTAATTTTAATGTGGAAATGTATCTTATTATATCTTTAAATTAGTAGTTAGACAGCTGAGATTAAAGGTACCCTGTAAAGTTTTCGATCACGTATTTTCATACATTTTTCAACATTCACAAAGAATCTGATGTGATTCTGGAAACCAAATAATTTTTCAGTGCAGAATAAGATTATTTCACTCACCTCATCCCTGTCAGTGACCTCCAGAGTCAATATGGATGCACCGCTGGCCAGGTTCTCAGAAACAGCCACGTCGTAGCTTTCTTTACTGAACTCAGGTGGGTTGTTGTTCACGTCTTTCACCTTCACCACCACAGAGCTGTTGCCGACCAGAGAGGGAGTGCCCCCATCAGACGCCTGAACCATCAGACTGTACATGGTAACCTCACTAAAGTCCAGAGGCTGTGCCAACCGCAGAGTCCCACTGGAAGAGTCCAACTCAAAAACAGCAGGGTCTGATGAGGGACTTTGCTGGAAAATACTGTAAGTAACTCTCCCATTTGCTCCTTCATCTGGGTCTACAGCTGATAACATGAGCAAACTTGTACCCACTGACTCTGTTTCTAAGACTTCAACCTGATACTCAACCCCTGAGAACTTGGGGACGTTATCATTGATGTCGGACACTTGGACCAGCAGGGAGGCTGTGGCCGACCTGGCTGGACGACCCTGATCTTCAGCCACCACCAGCAGGCTGTACTCTGCATTGGTCTCTCTATCAAGTGCACCAGCCACACTCACCATCCCAGACACAGGATCAATAGCGAACCTCCCCTCCCCTCCTCTCAAAGAGTATCTGAGCTCCTTGTTGAAGCTGCTGTCTTTGTCTGTAGCTGTTACAGCGGTAACATTGGATCCTACCTCTGCATCCTCTGGGACTGATTTTGTGACAGGACTGGAGGTAAAAACAGGACTGTTATCATTGATGTCGGTGACTTGAACCTCCACGACTGCACTGTCACTGTTGGTCCCGTCAGAGATGGAGATCGTCACAGAGTAGTTGTGTGGAGCTTCATCGTAGTCGAGCTTCACTTTAGTGGTGAAGTCACCAGTTGGGGAGATGGCAAACTTGTCCACTTCTGAATCAACTCGAAGAGTCACGGGAACCTCAGTAACAATTGCGACGAAGTTAACCTGAATACATGAACAGTACAGTGAGGTATTTATCCCATATTATGATATTATAATAGCACCTAAATATAAATTGTCTTTGGGTGGTTGGTAAAAACCTCTCTGACATTTTCACATAGTCAGGACCATTCATACCAACGTACTGAGAAACTTACCTTAAGAATCAGAACTCCTGGGTCCTGCTCTTCTTCTACGGTGCCACGGTAGACTTTTTGTAAAAACTGAGGTCTTGAGTCACCAGGGGCACGAATGTTCACCTGTGTTGACGAGGACCTGGATATACGGCCCCCTAGAGGAGAGGTTGAGAAGAATATCAGTGACTTATAACATTGAGTGAGATAAATCTTTGTTTAGGATGAGCAGCTGGGACTGTTGATATATCACTACTCAATCACAGTTACGTAGCTGCAGTTACCCCTATTTTAGTCTTGGGCTGGTTTATATACAAAGCTTTTCAAATTGCACTCAGTATTCTTCAAATGAATAAGGCTGTATAACATCTTGTCCAATCATGTCTAAAGTCAAAATTATAACTGTCCCAAAATGATCACAGTAATTAAAAGCTGGCTGTCATGGCTTCGCATCTTGTAGTCTTGATGGGCTGAGCCATACAAATGGGAATAATGACACAAGCTCCCTTAAAGACAATCAAGGTGTGGGCTGGGTCGATAATTATATTTGCAAACATGACCAATCCCCTGTGTGATTGTTGGATCGTCTGTTTCTGAAAATGACATACATTTTCAGACACAGCTCCCCCTGATTCCACCATTGGAAAAAGGGGTTTCCAGAAGCTGTTTGACGATACAACAACTACTTCCTTTGCAGCATACTGAAGCCTTTAGAGTTTTCTTAGCTTGGGTCTTTTATATCAATGTAGACATTTGTTTTATCACTCTGTAATGTGCTTTCAATTGCAGCTGTGTGAAACTATGCTCTATAAAGAACCTGACCTTGCCATCCAATCAAATCTCTTCCAGTGAGTGTTCTTAAGATCGTGTGGTTTATGTGAAGCATTAGAAGTACAAAATGAAGTTAAGATGGGCCCTGGGCCCTTTATGGTCCACGTTACCCTAAAGAAATTATAATGTAAAAAGAATTTCTGAAAGATTTAATAAAGTACAGTAGAGAGTTGGAGCTAATAAAGGTGTGTGTCTGAGATTACCAATCTGTACAAAGGGTGTGATAACAATTTTATGATCACAGAGAATGTGATATTGCCAAAGGTGAAGTGCTTGACATGAAATATTCTGCCCCCAGATACAGAACCTAACTTAAAATATATTGATATTTAGTGTAGGATTAATGCTTTGTTCCATAAATATACCAAATCATGATTGGCTTGTATACTGTAACAGTCTGAATCATCACAATGTGGAAGTGATTCTTTCATTTCTGGCAAGCTGTAAACAAAGAGAAATACTGTTCAGCTCTACCATCTCTCGCTGTTACATAGAGCGGGAACTCCATAATCCTGTTTTCCTCCAGGGGAATGAGTTTAGCCAGCGTGATCTTTCCAGTGTTTTCTTCGATTGAGAAGTAGCCGTCACTGTTTCCAAAGTCAATAGTGTATTTGATCTGCCCATTTAAGTCAGCATCTGGATCTTCTGCTTCAACCTTTGAGTTAAATCATACAAATCATCATTTTAAAAGCTCTTTTGAATACATCAAATAAAAATAACAGCAAAAAGTTGTCAACATAAATAAAATTACAGACAACAGACAAAACCACAAACAATGTCATAACTATAATAATGTTGTAGTAAATGAAGCAGAGGTAGGATTTTATGCAAAACTGAGCCCAGCACATACTTGTTAGACTAATGAATTAATGATGCTGAATGTTTTGTAACAAAATGAGGCGTTAAGTTCATTAAGCTGTATAAATCAGGGTTTGGGTTAATTAGAGAAGTGTGTCATCAGCATAGCAGTGGAGGGCAGCTGTACCTCTACCTAATGTGTTGCAAATGGAAAGAAGAAAAGGGCCTGAAATTGAACTTCCATAGATCATTTCTGCGGCAAACGGTAACAACAAACAAGGAGGGTTTTATTAAAATAATATAAGATGAACCCAAAGTTGATGCAAATTTAAGGATGTTAATCACTTTTCATGTAAATCTTTTTCTGTCTGAAGATCATATACAAGAGGGCCCCCTTTAAGCTGTGCATTTGAAATATGTAAATCATGTAAAAAAGAAATTATGAGAACTATATTTAAATGTATAAAACAATTGGTGACATGCTTAAAAATGTAAATATATATATTTTATATAAAATTGAAACAGAACTGCTTAAACCACTCACCTGGACCAGCAACATTTCCAGTGTCTGATTTGCAAACACCTTTCCTTCGTAGCTGTCACTGGTGAATTCAGGACTGTTGTCATTCTCATCCAGAAGAGTTACACTGACTTGTACAGCTGCTTTATTGTTGGGTGGACTCGTCTCCCTTGCTTCAATCTTTTAATTAACAAAAGAACAGCATCTCGGTTAAGCTTGTCCCACATAAACCGAAAAGCTTGGGGTATATGTTTAAATTTGTAATCTAGATTACCTGAAATGTGAGGCTTTGAGTCGTCTCCCTGTCCAGAGCGGTAGAGTTCTTCACTCTGATCGTCCCGTCAGGTCCGATAGAGAAAGGAGCAGATTCTGGAAGGATCTGCAAAGTTCCCACAAATCCTCCCTGGGAAAAAGAGAATGATGGAAGAGATTACTTACTAATAAATGCTTAACTTCCGAGTGTAGTTTTAAGTGACATCTACCTGGTCTCGGTCGGTGACGATGGCTTTGAACACAACAGCATCAACAGGAGAATTTTCCAGAAGTGTTACAGAGTATTCGGGCTGGTCAAACTCTGGAGCATTATCATTCACATCCTCAACAGTGACAGACACCACAGCAACAGCCGTCTTCAAACTGTCATCTGTCTGGGCCACCTGACGAGAGAAAACATGAATCACTTGTTAAGCAACATCTTTTTTGTGTTGTATACCGAACTGTGCGCACTCGTTCTGTAAAAATCCAGCAATGTGTTGATGTGCTGTGTGACTGCATTTTATTACACTGCATCAAGTGTGTCTGATCCTTAACATCTGAAAACAAATAAAAATGGACAACCTGGAAATTTAGACTAGTTTTTTAGTCATGGAAACACCTGGAAATTGATTAAAATGACCAAATATCCTGGAATAATCTATGTTGTCCAGGAACATTTTTATTGTATTTTAGACCTTTCACTCAGATCACTTACTGTATGTAACCCTAGATGCGTATTTAGTTTGAAACTCAACTGTTAGCTGTGCAGTATTACACCTAAAAGCTTACTAAATGAACATCATGCTGTATTGAAGAAGACTTGAAACTAGAAATTGAGAACATAAAACTCATTAGGAAACTGTTTTCTGAGCTCATAAATCAAGCCATTTTCAAATTAGGTTGCATACTAACTCAGTTCTCTTTGGAACCAATAAAGTTTCCCCCTGCTGGCCATTAGACAAATACTTCTGCCTCACTTCTCAGACCTGGAAGCTTGGTCCACAAATTATATACCGTGATCGTATATTCAAATGCCAGTACCATGATGTTGATAGAGATCACACTGTTGTTCATGTCCTCTCTGTCTATGGCAGTCGCCACAGTCAGAACTCCACTGCTGGAGTCGATGTTGAAGTTTGTCCGGTACTTGTCTGGAGACACTAAACAAAGACAATGTTCAAAATTATATATATTATATATTTAAGTGTTTTGCTTTAAATGTCTGATGTGAATTTGAAGCTTTAATTTCTTGTTGTTTACCTGCACTGATGCTGTAAATTAAAGTCATGTTAATCCCGCTGTCTCCGTCCTGAGCCTTTATCGCCTCAGGCTCGATGGCCCGGAAAGACCCAACCTGAAATATATAATACACAATATTGATATTAGCCAAAAAAAGACAATAAGATATAGCTTTATAAGACCCAGCAATTCATATCTGTGGGCAGGGGCGGAGCCAGATGTTTGATGCACATTTGGGGCTTAGTTCAAACACCCCAGGAGTTTTCTTTCCATTTACAGCTGCTATACACTCGACTTAAGCCATCTGAATGTTTGATCATTTGGGGTACATTTTCTAATTGGTCTCCAACTGTTTTCATCATTCTGAAAACCATAACACAAGAAATGTTGAGGATAACACATTTAAAAGTGCTACCTAAAAGCAAAAACTCATGAAACATGACACACACACAAGACAACAACCCCCCTTCAATCAACCAGAAAGCTTAGAAATACACCACAACACTTTTGACTGTGTTTAATAGATGCTTTATAAAGTGTTGGTTGGCATTACCTGTGAGAGAAATGATGTGATGATTAGGTTTAAAAGTCTCACCTCATTCTCTGGAATAAAGGCCCGGTACACGCTGTGGCTGAAATAGGGATTCAGGTTGTCAAAGTCCACTATGTTAATCACCACAGTGGCCGTGTCATTTAGTCCGTGGTTGTCCTGTAGTGAACAAAGCACAGACAACTTATTCATGTCCATCACCAGTTAATTATGTTTTTATGTCTCAAAATAATTCTGTATTTAGTAGATGGTGTGTGTCAGTATTTTCACCTACCCTGGCCATCACAATGAAGTTGAAGCTTTTGACTACATTGTAGTTCAGTCGTCTCTTCAAAATAAAAGCCCCTGAGTTGGTCAGCGTAAAGTACTCTGAAGCTGGCGCCTTTGGGAAGAAAATTACCGTCACATTTCCATACAGAATATTGTTACTCATCATAACACATGTGGAAGCCCAGAGATCATCTTAATCTCAAAGTAAAGCTATCTGTGGTTCAAACCCGTATAAGTACAACTGCATGATTGTTAAGAATTATATTAAAAAAAAAATACATAATACAGACAGAATTGTATATAAAGTTCCCTAAACAGGAAATAATCCTTAAAGAAAAAGGTTGGGATTATCTCCTGTAAATTTGGAATCATACAATCCAAATTTTAAAGCTAAAATAAACATCTTTGGCTTATATTCAGACATGATTAGTGAGTGTTTGTCTTATTACAATATTTCAATTTGCTTGTATTTAATACAGTTATTCATTAATTGTCAGATTTGGATTTGACAGGATTTAAACAAATTACATATGAGCAACTACGCCCACTCTCAGCTTCCACAACGCAGTGACAAGCAACATAGATGTATGTCAACTACAAAAATTGTCAAATAAGGGTAGATGATATTACAAAGGAATATGTGAGCTGGTTGTTTTCTGGGGTGCTGTCTCCATCCACCGCTGTCACTCGGAGGACCTCGCTGTCCACACTTACTGCCTGAAAGAAGAAAATGCTGAATGATGTACACCAACACATGCAAATGAATCATGTTCTGTCAAGCATTGAACATCTAAACACAATATTTGCTATCACATTTAATACAATATTTGTTATCACATTTATCTTCTCAAACTAATCAACTCTAGTTCACAGCTTGTAGTCAGATAAAGCAGTGAGAAGTTCTGTTCTTCTTCTGTCAGCTGAACATCTTAACACGTCAATAGAAGCATGTAATGCAGGTCTGCAGTTCCTTTCTCATAGAAATCAGTGACTGACCTCTGAGACTTCAGTGCTGTAGACCTTCTGTGAGAATACCGGGCTGTGGTCATTGAGGTCGTTGATTTTCAGCGTCCGAGTGTTGTTGTGCTGCAAAAGTTAAAAAAACACCATTTGAAATATTTTGTTTTGTAATGTTACTGAATATTACAACATTTACATGACTTTTACCTACCTTAATTGGGCCGTCACACATGACAGAGTAATACAAGGTGCGGTCAGACTGTAAGACATGAACACAGTGGATTTTAGGTCTGTAGAGATGACTTAAAGGTGATGTGTTCAAAGACAACAAAATCATTTTACACTAAGAAGACTTTGGAAGATACCCACTAACTCATCAGCTGAACTTGCTGAAATGCATTTTTGTACAGAAAGGAAACTTTCCCCCATCACAAATCTCTTTAGTAAAGGATCTCTTTGAGTCCAGCATGGACAGGAGGAATGAGTACAGCGCCAAAAAACTAGATATGTGAGTGTTGCTTTAAGATAAAAAAAAGAACCTAACCTATGGATTACAACAACAGCACTTTTGTTCACATTGGGGAAACTTTGGGGTTTCAGTTAAATAATAATAAAGTAACATCTTTTTTTTTTTGCAATGTTGACTTTTTCAATATTAAACCAAGACCACAATCTTTCCCTACCCTTAACCATTACACAATCATAACTATAAAAAATAAAAAATAGTTGTGATTATTGTATTGCAAGAGCAGATGTTGTAGGGTAAACAAATGAAATATCATCAATTCATTTGTATTTTTTAGCCACAAATAGAATTTATTTCAGAACACTTTTTATATAGAACAGTGGTTCTATACGAAACTAGGGGTTGCCAAAGCTTCAGAGGGAGTCACAAGGCCTTCTTGATTTTAAGAAGTGTAAGAAAAGTAAAATAAAGAAAAATACACTATTCACAAGAAATAGTCTGCTCAAAATTCATCCAAATTGCTTTCAATATTTGCGTTAATCAATTGCAGTTTGTTCTGTACTGTTATTGTTATGCACTAAATATAAAATGAAATATCCATAAAATATGTCACTTATTAACATTTTCTGATTACGTTGCTAGTGAACACAATCCAGGCAGTAAAAAGTATTACTGTTGCACATTAATTTCTAGGAGATGGAGTTGATGGAGCTCTAACCCCTATCAGTGCGTCTGCGTCCAGTGGCTTTTTAGTGCGAACAGTTGCGCTGGTTTCTCCAAGCGTGAAGCTCAGCTCCAGAAACTCCAGGTGGGTGGCGAAGATGTAGGGAACCAGCTTCACATTGCTTCCTGACGTGATCCCATTCACCAACTCCACATCCCCTGCAGCAGCATGGTGGGAGCATTGTGAGAAGGACTAGATAAACATGTCATCTGTTTTTTCTTCACAATTTAAATCAATAAATGATACATCTCACTAATATAAAAAACAATGCTTATTATAAAGAAATGCCTCATCTTTGGCAAATACATAAGGAGAATGTATTCTTAAGTCACCTCATAATTTACACTTTTATTTATTAACAACTTTTTAATAGAAAACAAAATATTGGTGTCAGTTTCAGTTTAGATATTGGTTAATCTTGATTGATGATTTTGGCTACCAATTAAATCTAAAACCTTCAATTACTGGGCTTCATCAAAACGTTTAGCTGGGTTTTAGAAATCTACTTAAAATATAATATGTTTTTTCAGGTTCTCAGTCTGACTATTGAATTGCTGATAAGGGTGTTCGACCTTGGCACCACTTCTTTTTTCCATTTTTTCCTAATTATTTACCTCAAATATGTTCAAATGATTCTGTTAGCCTTTATGCTGATGACACGGTTATTTACTCTGATATATCTTAAATCCCAATTCTTTACAGTTTGATTTTAGCTTGATCCATAACAACAAATTTGTGTTTTTTGACTTTAATCTACTTTGGAAATATTCTATTCAAAATGCTGTATCTCACTTACCTGTGTAGCCTTCATCCACTGCTCCCAAATCTTTATTACTACTGCCAGCACAATTTATGTCAGAAGTACCTAGAGTAACAGAAATAATACAAGTTAATAAAGACAGATATAATATGTTCACTCAAATTATTAAAATAGCCAGTGTTGGGCATTAAGACATCGTTACATTAATAATATTACTTTCTTTTGAGGGAGAAAGGACGTTATTACCAATTTTGTGGGGTGTAGCAGAAAAGTAATATAAGTAGTGGTGTAACTAATTACTGTTGGCAGGGAGTATTAAGTAACTTTATAAAAGTGATGATAGCAAAATGCTAACTAGCTAATCTAAATCAATTGTTGTATGCTAGTTAGCTAGCATTTTGCTAACATTTGCTAACTCATGATGTGTTTATACCCATGTCACTTATATAGTCTCCAAGCAATATCTTTCATCTTCAAACGTTTTCTTGTAGCATATCTAAGTACAGGAAGCCAATTTCTTTCCAGAGGGTGGCGAAGTCATGACCCGCCCTACTCTCCCTCTGATTGGCTGGTACTCACTGCCTATGATGGTTTGGTTGGTAAGGTTTAGGCACGAGGAGTGAAACTGATTAGGTTTAGGGCGATAACGTCAGGGTCAGTGGGTCATAAAAAAATATTGTGTACAGGAATCAGGAAAGAGGAAAGGCTGACCACGGTCAATTACATTTAAACAATCTCAACAGCAACAGATTTCCTGAAACAGTGTCCAATTTACTTTAGTAAGTTATAATAGTATATAGTAAAAAAAACAGTAATATGACCTTGTTGTGCAGTTATCAATTACTTTCTACTAAAGAAACAGTCTCTATAAAATGTTGATGTGAAAACAAATCTAAATCTAATTTCTCTTGTTGAGAACGTAGCCAGTGTATTCAGCGTAATACTATACTGAACACTCTTTTTATTACATTGTATATAACCTGTATTACATTATATCTGAATTATATCAATCTGTACTGTAGTTTTATCTTTGCCAAACAGCCTACGCAGTTACAGTGCAGATATATGGGTGTGCCAAGCCACTGAGTATCTGCCCGTTTCTTGGGTGAGTATAGAACTAGTAGTAGATTTATGACAGCACAGCCTGATAGCCACTGCAGGGCCTAATGATCGCTCAAAACCTTATTTAACTTGAATACTGGGCTTCCATAGGAATCCTCACCCAACAACAGAAAATAGTCAGTCTCATTTTTCCTATAATTTACAGTTTTAAACAAAATCTCTGCCACATTTGTCGATTTCTAAACTCCATCCATTCTGGTTCCACTCACCTATTGGACTTCCAGTAACGACACACACACAAACGGAGATAACGAGAAGGAGACAAGGCCTAATCGAACCACCGGCGTCCATATCGGCTGGGTTGTGTTTTCCCAAAACCTGAAAACCGACACTGAACTGATCACCTGTATCACAGGCGTTAAGAGTCCTCCGCAGTTCACCTCACCCTATAATCTCCTAACAACCTCCCTATAATACTGTTTTATGGCTGATTGTAAAATGACTGTCAGTGGACAAAGAGCAGGACCAAGCCTGAGTTTCATTTCCCTCAAACCGTGTGAACAAATCATACCTCAGCTTTACAGGAGAAGTTTAATTTGAGTTTAAATTGAGCTATAATAAAGGCCAGGCATCTGCTACTGTACGTTTACATTTAAGAGGAGAATTCTGACCTATTTTGTACTCCTCATGTGGTTTTTATTGTGTGGTCCTTCTACAGATTATAGCATATCTTTGTTGAGCATTATATATTTCTTTTTATTGTCTCTTTGATTCCCAAAACAAATCCCAAACAAATAATTCACAACTGAGTTCAAAACATCAACATTGAGCTGAGAGGAAAATTTGGGTGTGGAGTTAATCATTGACAGTATGCACACCGATCTGACACTGACAGGTGAAGTGAATAACTGAAAGATTATCTGGTTATGATGGCTCCTGCTAGTGGGGTGGGATATATCAGGCAGCAAGTGAACATTTTGAGCTCAAAGTTGATGTGTCAGAAGCAGGAAAAATGGGCAGCGTGAGGATTTGAGCAATGACAATAATGTATTGAAATAATGATGTTAGCTTCTCTGACTCAATGGGGAGCCCAAGAGAAACCAGAAAGTCTTCTTCTCCAGAGGAACTGCATTCAAAATCCCTCTGACATTTGTAACATTGCTTATAAGTAAAAGTCGAGCTTTTCTCAACAGTATGTATGTACAGTACAGTATGTGACAAGTTTCACAGCAAAAGTTAGTTTTAAAAAAAATACTATATCTATATATAAATATATAGATATAGGTTTTTCTTTTAAAATTCTGCTTTTTACCAATCTTTAATGAACCCCCTTTGCCATAAGCCAAAGCTAATGTGGTATCTCTTTGTGTCAGTTTTTTGTTTCTTTTTAGCTGTATTGTGTCTCCTTGTAGACTTTCTTTATGCCCAGTTTTTTGTATTTGTGTTCATTTCATTCTGTGTCTCTTTGTATCCTTGTGTCTCTTTGTGGCTGTTCTGCTTCTCTTTCTAGTCCACTCATCTATATCAGTGACATTTGGGTGCTTTCTGACCCCTTGGGCACCTGGGCCTTTGAGTCAGTAGGCTTGTTCAGTACTCCATCCATGCTTTTAACTGTTAATATTATTATTTATAAAGGTTTGTTCAACATAAAACAAAAGAGCACAAATGTCATTTCTCTCCCATATTCACTCCATACTGCTTATGTTGAAAATGCTAAACAACCCAAAGAGAAGAAAGCTAAGTTGAGCTCGTCACACAGGCATTAATAGTTAACATTTACTGGAGCTCTGACAGATTGTTATTTATCAAGTTATTTATCATTTGATTGGCTCAGCGGGTGCATTTTATTACAGTTTGTATTTGAGATGTAACAAATTAGATTGAGCCAACCTGATAAACACAAGGTCTTATAGAAACATTTGGAGATCCTTCAGAAACATTTTATGTAATGGTGAATGAAACAAATTACATGTTGGCTCAATTGTCCATTGTCACTATGGACTCAGGCATGTTTTTATTTCTTTTTCTCCACTTCTGACCTGTGGCTGACCTGCCTTCTGCTCTTCTGCTGAAACATCCAACTTTTAAAGTTTTAGTTTTAAAGTCAGAATGAAGAGGCAAATTTTCTTTATTTAAGTTGATACGTGTTGTATACTTGTGAAATTACCTTTTAAAGTTTTAGTTTTAAAGTCAGAATGAAGAGGCAAATTTTCTTTTTTTAAGTTGATACGTTGTATACTTGTGAAATTACCTGAAATAGTGTGAGGACTCTGGTCTGACGTGACTGAACCTTCCTTCTGTTCCTCCTTATTCACCTCACAGCAGAAGTGTACACAGCTTCTGTATTTCTATATCTCCATCTTCAATCTGCAAGTCACAAAACAAAGCACAAGAACTTCTCTTCACTTTTTTGACCAGGGGGGCACAAGTGGGGGATTGACTTATGCAGGGGTGGCATGAAGTATGTGTGTCTCAGCTTTCCATTCATTACCAATTCATGCAATCCTAACACTGTTTATGGATCCCATTCTGCAGAAATATTCAAATATACGGGATGAAAGTAACACATTTATTAAAAATTGTATAGTTTTTGCCAAACCTGCATGGGATTAGTATAAAATGGGCATGTCTGCAAAGGGGAGCCTTGTGGGTACCCATAGACCTATTTTCATACAGTATGTATGTACAGTACAGTATGTGACTAGTTTCACAGCAAAAGTTAGTTTTAAAAATAAAACTATATCTATATATAAATATATATATCTATATAGATATAGGTAGATATATATAGATATAGGTTTTTCTTTTAAAATTCTGCTTTTTACCAATCTTTAATGAACCCCCTTTGCCATAAGCCAAAGCTAATGTGATATCTCTTTCTGTCCGTTTTTTGTTTCTTTTTAGCTGTATTGTGTCTCCTTGTAGACTTTCTTTATGCCCAGTTTTTTGTATTTGTGTTCATTTCATTCTGTGTCTCTTTGTATCCATTCTGTGTCTCTTTGTATACTTGTGTCTCTTTGTGGCTGTTCTGCTTCTCTTTCCAGTCCACTCGTCTATATCAGTGACAATTGGGTGCTTTCTGACCCCTTGGGCACCTGGGCCTTTGAGTCAGTAGGCTTGTTCAGTACTCCATCCATGCTTTTAACTGTTAATATTATTATTAATAAAGGTTTGTTCAACATAAAACAAAAGAGCACAAATGTCATTTCTCTCCCATATTCACTCCATACTGCTTATGTTGAAAATGTTAAACAACCCAAAGAGAAGAAAGGGAAGTTGAGCTCGTCACACAGGCATTAATAGTTAACATTTACTGGAGCTCTGACAGATTGTTATTTATCATTTGATTGGCTCAGCGGGTGCATTTTATTACAGTTTGTATTTGAGATGTAACAAATTAGATTGAGCCAACCTGATAAACACAAGGTCTTATAGAAACATTTGGAGATCCTTCAGAAACATTTTATGTAATGGTGAATGAAACAAATTACATGTTGGCTCAATTGTCCATTGTCACTATGGACTCAGGCATGTTTTTATTTCTTTTTCTCCACTTCTGACCTGTGGCTGACCTGCCTTCTGCTCTTCTGCTGAAACATCCAACTTTTAAAGTTTTAGTTTTAAAGTCAGAATGAAGAGGCAAATTTTCTTTATTTAAGTTGATACGTGTTGTATACTTGTGAAATTACCTTTTAAAGTTTTAGTTTTAAAGTCAGAATGAAGAGGCAAATTTTCTTTTTTTAAGTTGATACGTTGTATACTTGTGAAATTACCTGAAATAGTGTAGTGAACCTTCCTTCTGTTCCTCCTTATTCACCTCACAGCAGAAGTGTACACAGCTTCTGTATTTCTATATCTCCATCTTCAATCTGCAAGTCACAAAACAAAGCACAAGAACTTCTCCAAAGGACTTTTTTGACCAGGGGGGCACAAGTGGGGGATTGACTTATGCAGGGGTGGCATGAAGTATGTGTGTCTCAGCTTTCCATTCATTACCAATTCATGCAATCCTAACACTGTTTATGGATCCCATTCCGCAGAAATATTCAAATATACGGGACGAAAGTAACACATTTATTAAAAATTGTATAGTTTTTGCCAAACCTGCATGGGATTAGTATAAAATGGGCATGTCTGCAAAGGGGAGCCTTGTGGGTACCCATAGACCTATTTTCATTCAGATATCATGAGGTCAGAGGTCAGGGGATCCCTTTAAGAATGGATATGCCAGTTTTTCCGTTGCCAGAATTAAGCATTATTTTGCTTGTTTAGCTCCCTTCCCAACATGCTAGCATGACATGGTTGGTACCAATGGATGGTTTAGGTCACTAAAATGGTGCCTGCTACATCCTCTGAAAGATAGTGCTAGTGGCAGAGGTAAGGATAATGGGCTGGCCAACATCAAATGTCAGGCCGATGTAAAATGTGAAAATCATAGTGGTCATTAGTTTTCCCTTAGTCCAGATGTAAAATCTAAACATTTAAAAGACAAGGGAAGACCTATTTCAATGTCAGTCTTCATTCGCCTTCCTCATTTTTGAAAGATATGTTAAAATATGGTCATGGTGCTGCTGAGGGGTTGGCTGTGGTCAACGTCTCGTCTATAAAAAAAAGGCTCCTTCCTCCTGTACTCAGTGCAGCAGCACCTTCACTCCCAACACTGAGAAGAAATAGAAGAAGAGGGCAGCATCCATCAGACTTCTTTCTCCAACAAAGGAGGTAAAAGATTTCACTTAGCTGTATTTAGCATTATTTTAAAGAGGAAGTCAGCAAACTCAAATCATTAGTTTTATGCAAGTTATTCATTTCTTAGGCCTTTAATGGAGTTTTATCTCTCCTGACACCTTGTAAAAAGCCCAAAAGAAGCTGAGAGTGGCCGTGGTTGCGAAAACCTGTTAACTAGAGATCTTTAATTAATCTATATTGTATCGATCCGATTTATTGGATGAAATCCATCCAACAGACTAATTCTAATCAGATTTTGAGTATGTATTGGGTTTATGCAGGAAAAATGACAAAATAAGCATACTTAAAAACCCTTGGTATGCATATGATTGGATTGTTGCAAAATGTATAACACAAAGGTACTTGAAGCTTCACCCATTAACTGGTAAAACAGCTTTATGAACACCTCAGAAAACAAAACAGTATGAACAAACCAAAAAAGGGAAGTGAGTTATGTGAATTCTACTTTCCAGTGTCGCAGTTTAACTGATATACATCAGTGAAATGCACACGTAACATAGTGTTTCCTAATCAAACAGTTAAAGATTCCCTCCAGACGTGTATTACGACACATGCAAATCGTCTGCTTGGAACAATAATGTGTGTCTCATATGTTTCCCACGTAAAAATCCTTAAAAAATGCATCTAGTCCTACAAAATTACAGAATCTATTCTTTCTAAAGTTTTTCTGCTGGACACAAGATGTCTCCTACTAAGACTGCAACAGTTTATATATTTGTATTTACATTTTAACACTGTCATTGCTGTTATTATTTTCATTGTTTTAAATGCTCTTTATGATGATATTCTGCTAATAAACTTGATCTGTGTGCAGATGGCGGGCCTCTGCTGGATGGCTGTGACACTCGCCTTCATCCTGTTTACTGAAAACAGTTTTGCTGCCGTGGACCAGAACAGGCTTGCAAGTATTGTAAATGGCATCTCGAAAGCGTGAGTTGACTTCTATTCAATTCAAGTTTTATTTGTATAGCGCCAATTCATAACAGTAGTTATCTAAGGACACTTTTCAAAGAGAACCGGTCTGGACCGAACTCCTTATAGCATTATTTACAGTGACCCAACAGTTCCCACCATGAGCAAGCACTTAGCGACGGCAGCAAGGAAAAACTTCCTTTTAAGAGGCAGAAACCTCGGACAGACCCTTCGGCTCTAGGTGGTTGGTCGTCTGCCTCGATCAATTGGGGTGAGAGAGAGAGAGAGAGAGAGAGAGAGAGAGAGAGAGAGAGAGAGAGAGAGAGAGAGAGAGAGAGAGAGAGAGAGAGAGAGAGAGAGAGAGAGAACCAGAGGGAGACAGACCAGAGGTAACGACAGATGGACAGAGACACAGACAAAGTACAGTAGCAACAACTGCACTAATAGCAGTGACTGATGGTGATAGTGATGATGAACATGAAGAAGATGATGACGATGACAACAACGATAGTCTAGGCCTATAGCAGCATAACTAAGGGATGGTTCAGGACTCACCTGAGCCAACCCTAACTATAAGTTTATCAAAGAGGAATGTCTTAAGCCTACTCTTAAATGTGGAGAGGGTGTCTGCCTCCCGAACCACAACTGGAAGCTGGTTCCACAGGAGAGGAGCTTGGTAGCTGAAGGCTCTGGCTCCTGTTCTACTTTTAGAGACTATAGACAACAAGTAGCCCTGCATTCAGAGAACGCAGTGTTCTAGAGAGGTAATAGGGTACTATGAGCTCTTTAAGATATGAAGGGACCATGATGAGCTTTGCTCATTAGCTCCAGTGCAGGAGAGATGTGATCTCTTTTTCTAGTTCCTGTCAGTACTCGTGCTGCAGCGTTCTTAATTAACTGGAGCATCTTAATGGACTTATTGGGGCAGCCTGATAATAAGGAATTGCAGTAATCCAGCCTAGAAGTAACAAATACATGTAATGGATTAGTTTTTCTGCATCTGTCTGTGATAGGATGTGTCTATTTTTTGTAATATTACGTAAATGAAAGAAGGCAGTCCTGGAGGTTTGCTTTATGTGGGAATTAAATGACATGTCCTGATCAAAGATAACTCCAAGATTCCTGACAGTGGTGCTAGAGGCCAAAGCAATGCCAGTTAGAGTAACTATATCTTTAGACAGTGAGTCTCTGAGGTTTTTGGGGCCAAGTACAGGAATTTCTTTTTTTATTTGTTTAGCATCAGAAAATTGCAGCTCATCCAGGTTTTTATGTCCTTAAGACATGTTTGTAATTTAGATCATTGATTAATTTCATTGGGCTTTCTTGATAGATATAACTGGTTATCATCTGCATAGTAATGAAAGTTAATGAAGTGATTCCTAATAATGTTGCCTAAAGGGAGCATATATAAAGTAAATAGTATTGGTCCAAGTACAGAACCTTGTGGAACTCCATGACTAACTTTAGTATTTGAAGAAAGTCACACAACTGTTTGGCAACTACTTTCTCCAGAAGTCCTTTACTGAAAGAATTTTGTTACCTACAGCTATGTTCAGACCCCTGCTAGCACTTGGGCAAAACATCACAAATAGATAGCAGACCGAATACTAACACAGCAGGGCTGGGAATATGTTGCTGGATCCCTAAAATGAAGATTACAAGAGCAAAGAATGTGGATGGAGTTGTAATTTGTGTGGAAATGCAAGAAAATACAGTAGTTTTTGATCTGCACGTAAACTTATTAGCACATTGAGAGTTCAGTTTTGCTATCAGCATCTCAGAAATACTGCCAAACTCAGAAACATAAAGTTAAACAATGTATGCATGCCTTTGTGTTTCTTGAGATCAAGTTTGTACAGAGAGGATTGCACACAGAGTAAATGGTGCAAGGGTGCCACTTAGTGGTCAGCTAAGGTTACTGCATCACATATCCACATATTCAGTACTTTCATTTTTGTACTTGCACAGGTACAGAACACAAGGCATGTTCAGTCTGGCTGTAAGAATTCCAGACGACCAGAATCGGAAAATCTACGATATCCTGCAGCAAGTCTTTCAAAGTGATCCTGTTAAAGACGTGGCAAAACAGCTTGACGAGAACAAGGTGTACGTCGGCAGCAGGGTGGTTGCAGCCAGACCTCTGCCTCGGGACACAGGAGGAGCTGATCATGCAGAGTCACGTGTTGCTGACCACTTGGACGACTTGTTCAACCGTCGCGATGAGAATGACTTGTTGCTTTTCTATGTTTATGCCTCCCCATGTGTTGAAAAATGTACACGTAACTCACATAATGAGAGTATCCTCGGAAGGATAAATCAAATTCAGCAATGGAAGAGTCACGCTTTTGTGTTTTCTAAAATCTTCAAGCCCCGCAATCGTCCGGGCAATACAGTGGAAGAGCTTAGTGGAGCCCTTTGGCGACTCGGGACTGTAGTTGGTCTTGACAACATATTCCGTTGTGACAAACAAAATGGTTGGATGCATTGCATCAGCTGCTCTAGTAATAATAGAGTTACACAGGCTTGTGTTTCAGATACAAATACACAACCTCAGCAAGGTCAGGTTGGCAGTGGAATAGGAGGTGGCAGGGGCAGAGGTAGGGGTCGCAGAATCAATAGAGACACCAATCAAAATAATGGCAATGATGTGAATACAGATGAAGATGACTCTTCCTCACAAGGTGGTCTTGATAATGTTAATGGAACCGATGTAAATACAGATGAAGATGATTCTTCCTCACAAGGTGGTCTTGATAATGTTAATGGAACCGATGTAAATACAGATGAAGATGATTCTTCCTCACAAGGTGGTCTTGATAATGTTAATGGAACCGATGTAAATACAGATGAAGATGAGTCTTCCTCACAAGGTGGTCTTGATAATGGTAATGGACATGGTGTGAATACAGATGAAGGTATGCCTTCATTACAAGGTGGTCTTGATAATGGTTTTGGAAATGGTGTGAATACAGATGAAGGTATGCCTGCCATACAAGGTGGTCTTGATAATGGTTTTGGAAATGGTGTGAATACAGATGAAGGTATGCCTCCCATACAAGGTGGTCTTGATAATGGTTTTGGAAATGGTGTGAATACAGATGAAGGTATGCCTGCCATACAAGGTGGTCTTGATAATGGTAATGGAAATTATGATTCCAATATTGGTGAAAGTGTCTCCCCATCACTAGAGGGTCCTGATTATGGTGGACAAAAAGGCAGGGAAGGAAAAGGTAGAGGAATGAGCAGACGCAGAGGACGAAAAGGCGGAGTAGGGAGGAGACGCAAAGGACGAAAAGGAAGAGTAGGGGGGAGACGCAAAGGACGAAAAGGCAGAGTAGGGAGGAGGGGCAAAGGACGAAAAGGTAGAGGAATGAGCAGACGCAAAGGACGAAAAGGCAGAGTAGGGAGGAGACGCAAAGGACGAAAAGGAAGAGTAGGGGGGAGACGCAAAGGACGAAAAGGCAGAGTAGGGAGGAGGGGCAAAGGACGAAAAGGTAGAGGAATGAGCAGACGCAAAGGACGAAAAGGCAGAGTAGGGAGGAGACGCAAAGGACGAAAAGGAAGAGTAGGGGGGAGACGCAAAGGACGAAAAGGCAGAGTAGGGAGGAGGCGTAAAGGACGAAAAGGTAGAGGAATGAGCAGACGCAAAGGACGAAAAGGCAGAGTAGGGAGGAGACGCAAAGGACAAAAAAACAGAGTAGGGAGGAGACGAAAAGGAAGAAAAGGAAGAGTAGGGAGCAGACGCAAAGGACGAAAAGGCAGAGTAGGGAGGACACCCAAAGGACGAAAAGGAAGAGTAGGGAAGAGACGCAAAGGACGACAAGGTAGAGGAATGAGCAGGGGATGGGGTAAAAGAGGTGGCAGTCGTAGAAGAGGTGGAATTCGTAGAGGAGGTGGCAGACGTAGAGGAGGTAGCAAACATAGAAGTGGTGGAATTCGTAGGGGAGGTGGCAGACGTAGAGGAGGTGGGAGACGTAGAAGGGGCCGCAGAGGATAGTTAAGTTTGGGTAAAGCTATGATTCAGGTGAAACAGGTTAGTTAGAATCTGAAAAAGAAGCCCCACAGATCCACCCTGACTGAGACATACTCCTTTTGCTTGGACAAAGTGTGTACAGCCATGCTAGCAGCTTAATGCAATAACCACCATTTCACCATGCTAGCTGTAATTAGTGATTAGTAATTAGTTTTTCAGGTATTTGGTCCTAAAATATTGGATAAACATCAACCTCTGGGCACCAAGAATGTCAAACATTTACTGCTGATATATTCAATAGTTTTTGAGACATTTCATTCTAAACTGAATGGTGCATTAAACAAGCGATCAACAGATTGATAGCATGGCTAAAAATGCTAAACTAATAATATAGCTAATAACAAACTAAAAAATATAACAAGCATATTTCTCAAGCACTTCTTCATGTTGATACAATGAATTTCAACTAAAGCCAAATTGTAAAAAAAAATCAGTAATAGTATTGACAATGTTAGCAAATCAATACAAACAAGAAAAACAAATTTTATTTTTAAAACCTTTTTCCATTTCATTTGAAACTCTGAATTTTTAAATTTTAATTATATAGTGTTTTTATAATTGATGATCATGTAGTGGACCTCTATCCATTCCCAAGGCCGGTTTTTCATGTTAATCTGCATTTGTTGTGTTTATGATTCATTTATAGTCAGATTTTTGAATTTCAACCTGAAAAATAAGAAATAAATGTGTTTCTTGTCCTCAGTATTTACAGTACTCATGTCATTGTACTCCATGTTTCTGTAAAGCATTACACAAATCTCTAGATTTTCTGTTGTTTTGTTCTGATTAAAGCTTGGCTCAGCATCATTCTGGCCTGTCTGGCTGTCTGTCATTTGATAAAAATTAGAGTACTACTGTATTGTCTTTTACCTAGATTGGATTCTGTCGGCTAAACAGAACAACCCAGTTTTTATTTCATTATTAAACTGAGCCCACACCATATTCACAACAGATTCATCATGTTTACGGATCTTGTTGGCCACCTGGTGGCACTGCAACAAGCTATAAACACGACACTGACATTAATCACACACAAAAAAAAAAACAAATTTAAAGAAAATTTCTTAGAAGATATGGCTTTTAGCAACATGAAGTTATACCCAGCAGTAATAAAATGCAATATATATATTTCAAACAATATTACCACCCATCTTGGTCCACTGATAGCAAACTTAAATCAAGTGGCTATAAGTACAGAAATAGTTTGTGATCTGTTTCTAAACTTCCAATCAGCACATTGAGAGTTCAGTTTTGCTATCAGCAACTCAGAAACAGTAAGTTAAACAATGTACGCATACATGACTTCTTAGCTGATTTACCTGATTCAGGAGACAGACATTTGTGACTGTACGAGGCTATTTTGGACCACTAAGGAGACTGTTTCCCTCCTGTCAGATTTCCAGCAACCTGCCTCTGCTTAGTCATAGTCATTTTGCATTTGCAAGCATACGTGTTGTGTCATAGATTATCATAAATAATACATATTTTGGGTGAATGCTATTTGTAGGTACAAGTATCACTCTGCCAGTCAGCCACACCTCCTCATCAGCCACTCTGCTCACCTGTGCACACAGCTGCTCCTGATCACCTCTCTCTCTCTGTCTCTCTCTCTATCTCTCTGTCTGTCTGTCTGTCTGTCTGTCTGTCTGTCTGTCTCTCTCTCTCTCTCTCTCTCTCTCTCAGTTCAATTCAATTCAAATGGCTTTATTGGGATGACGTAACACTGTACATATTGCCAAAGCAAGCGTTTGGAATGAAAAATAATAATAATAACAATAAAGGAAAACAATATTTACAATAAATTAATTATAATCTATACTGTTGGTAATACTGTAACTATGATTGACTCAATCACAATCATAGTCACAATCAATCAATCTCAGTCAATAAGTAATTAATTACAATTAATCAACTAAAACAATCAATTATTTTATACATTTATCTGAGTTTCCACTGGTTGTCCTCAGTTCGTGGCATGAGGAGACATATTTTGCTGCAATAATTTTTTTGGCATTTGGCATTTCTCCCAGTAAATAAGGGAGTTTCTGTGTGTCTGATAATAATTCAAATTCGGGGTATATTTGGGAAATGTTTGCGAATTGTTTTTCTCTTAAAGTTTTGAATTTAGGGCATGAGGTTAGAAAGTGCAGCTCTGTCTCTACCTGTCCTCTGTCACTCTCTTTGTCTCTCTCTCTCTCTTTCTCTGTCTCTCTCTATCTCTCTCTCTCTCTCTCTCTCTCTCTCTCTCTCTCTCTCTCTCTCTCTGTCTCTCTCTCTCTCTCTCAGCCTGCCTGCCTGCCTCAAGTCCCACAGACCACAGTATGGAGTGTGGACTGGTAGCTGGAGAGGTGCCAGTCTCACCTCCTGTGCACTGCCAAGGTGCCCTTGAGCAAGGCAACCAAACCCCAAGTAACTGCTCATGGGGCGCTGCTAACGTGGCAGCCCATCACTCCACCATCTCTCTCCATGTTTGCATGTCCACAAGCCCTGCATGAGTGTGCATTTCAGCCTGGGTGTGTATAAAATAAAAAGAGTGAGTAACTCTGGAGTCAGTCCCACTCCCACAGGAGAAGAATGTCTAGACATCTGGCTAGAACCGTCAAAGCTCATGATAGATGAAAGTGAGTACTCTGACAAGGACCAAAGAGTCTGAAAGGCCTAGCATTAGAGATCATTCAGGCTGTGCATATGACTGATCCTGATGCTAGCCCAATGGAGTACATACAGGCAATACAGTCAGCATGTCATTTTTCTAGCTCTGATCTGTCCTGAGCCGAAGCACTACAACCAATCAGGTGTCTGGGATTGTTGGCACCAACGTCTTTCTGTTCCACAAACTATGGGATCTGTTGGAAGAAAACGGTGATGAAAAATCCATGAGAATTCAGCCAGTGTATGCACCAGTTCAAACACAGACTCAGCTCTCTCAAGCAAAGGCAGTGGATGATGTCATTGGACAACTGAAATGGCAAGGCCCTGGTCCACTCTCAATAGCACCTGGTGAATGGTGCTATGCCACCTGCAGAAATACATGCAGTACCCAGGCCAGCCATGTAACCTCCCAGCAGATGCTATGGAACATGATCTTTTTGATTTAGACGATTCCCCCGTCCCTGAAAACTGGAAGAATTGACTGTCAAAAGCTAGCTCAAAGACGAAAAGGTCTTTTTCTTCCATGAATGGGATGTTGGCTTGGCCAAAGGCATGGAGCACCACATATGCCTGCATGACCCAAGACCCACAAATTGGCACCTGCAGACATTGACAATGGGCAACAACACACACAGCAGGTGCCAGGAGCTGGGATTTTTAAAGAGTCCTGCAGTCCCTACACCCCATCAATTGTGGTTGCTCGCAAGAAGAACGGAAGAATCTGTATTGACTACAGGACTCTAAACAGCCACACCATACCGGATCAGTATACCTGCTTTGCATTAAAGACGCCTTAAGGCTTGTGTATACTCGCAGTTCTCGACCTGTCGCGTGACAACGTGACGTCAAAATGACAAAGATCTCGCTGGCGTGCCAGGATTTCATGGCGAGAAATCGCCATGAATGTTGGAAAAGAGGAGGACATATGCCGGAAAATTTGGAAGAACCTCTGCGACTGATTTGAAAAAAAAAAAAAAAAAAAAAAACTTTTTCTTCTTCTTCTAGCGCCTAGAAATGGCAAAGTCGGTAGCCTTTCCTCACTAGCGACACCTCTGTTCAGGAGAAGACTGCAACTAGTGTCGCGACCACCACGCACAAGTATAAATAGTTACGGCGCTCCTGTGACGTCACATTGTCGCACGACAGGTCGAGAATGGCGAGTATACCGAGCGCTTTAGATTGCCTGTCAGGCAGCAAGTTGTTCTTGGTACTGGATATATGGAGTGGTTATTATCAGATCGCTATGGCTGAGGAGGATAGAGGAAGACCGCCTTTATCTGTCCTCTTGGGTTCTATCAATTTGAACAAATGCCACAAGGAATAATTGGAGCCCCTGCAATGTTCTAATGTTCTGAACCTTAAAAATATGTGAAAAAAAGCTCAAAAAAGTGTGTTAACTATGTTCCCTTTGCTCTTCCTCTTTATTTACCTCACAGCAGAAGTGTAGAGAGTTGCAACAACCTGACTGCGTCTGTATTTCTATATCTCCATGTTCAATCTGCAAGTCACAAAACAAAGCGCAAAGAACTTCTCCAAAACACTTTTTTGACACCCCCCTGCATGGCTGCTCCAAATGTGTAAGAATAAAATACAAAATTACAATTTTAAAAAAGCCATTTGTCCTGGTTTAACTACTCATCTTCAATAATGTCCAGACATGAATTTTTTTTTATTTCTCTCAGCTCTCCTGTGTTTTTTTTTGTATCCACATTGAACAAAATCAATCCAAAACATATTTCTTTTATTCTATATGTCTATATAATAGAAGAAGTAAAATGTGAAAATCATAGTGGTCATTAGTTTTCCTTTAGTCCAGATGTAAAATCTAAACATTTAAAAGACAAGAGAAGACCTACTTCAATGTCAGTCTTCATCCATCTTCCTCATTTTTGAAAGATATGTTAAAATATGGTCATGGTGCTGCTGGGGTTGGCTGTGGTCAACGTCTCGTCTATAAAAAAAGGCTCCTTCCTCCTGACTGTACTCAGTGCAGAAGCACCTTCACTTCCAACACTGAGAAGAAAATAGAAGAAGAGGGCAGCATCCATCAGACATCTTTCTCCAACAAAGGAGGTAAAAGATTTTACTTGGCTGTATTTAACATTATTTAAAAAAATTGAGGCAGCAAACTCAAGTCATCATTTTTTGCAAGTTATGCATTTCTTAGGCCTTTAATGGAGTTTTATCTCTCCTGACACCTTGTAAAAAGCCCAAAAGAAGCTAAGAGTGGCCGTGGTTGCGAAAACCTGTTAACTAATGATCTTTAATTAATCTATATATATTGTATCGATCCGATTTATTGGATGAAATCCATCCAACAGACTAATTCTGAACAGGTTTTGAATAAGTATTGGGTTTATGCAGGAAAAATGACAAAATAAGCATTCTTAAAAACCCTTGGTATGCATATGATTGGATTGTTGCAAAATGTATAACACAAAGGTTTTGAAGCTTCACCCATTAACTGGTAAAACAGCTTTATGAACACCTCAGAAAACAAAACAGTATGAACAAACCAAAAAAGGGAAGTGAGTTATGTGAATTCTACTTTCCAGTGTTGCAGTTTAACTGATATACATCAGTGAAATGCACACGTAACATAGTGTTTCCTAATCAAACAGTTAAAGATTCCCTCCAGACGTGTATTACGACACATGCAAATAGTCTGCATCTAGTCCTACTTCATTCAAAATTACAGTCTATGGGCTGCAAATTTTGTTGATTTCTAAAGTTTTCCTTTTATCACAGCTCTTATTAGAATTATTTTCATTGTTCTGAATCCTCTTTATGATGATATTCTGCTAATAAACTTGATCTGTGTGCAGATGGCGGGCCTCTGCTGGATGGCTGTGACACTCGCCTTCTTCCTGTCTACTGAAAACAGTTTTGCTGCCGTGGACCAGAACAGGCTTGCAAATATTGTAAATGGCATCTTGAACAAGTGAGTTGACTTCTGAATCATTCACTGAAATAATTTTGCTACCTAAGGCTATGTTCAGAGATGCAGGTACATTACAGTGTATGACAAGGTGTTAAAGGCCATCTAGGGACAGGGACTGCAAATTAGCTTAGGCTATAAATGCTGTGGCATTTGCTTATGTTACATACGTGTCCCTCTGCAAGTAAACATAAAACATGTTTTAGTTAGTTGATAG